GGCCGCCGCCACCCCGTGGCCGGCGTCGCCAGGGGGGACTCGGAAAGTCCAGAGTTTTTGTGAGTCAAATCTCGTTTGTCTTCATGAGAAATACTTTTAGGATAGGCCGTGACAATGTAAGTCGGGAAAGAATTTGTCAGAAGTCTCCCAGAAAACGGCTGTTTGTTAAAAGAATGCGTTTAGGTAAATATATATTTACACAACTGTAAAATACCACCAAAACATCACAGAGTTCTCTTTAAAAATACCTTAAGTATCACAGCTCTGTTCTATTCTAACTCAATGCCACCAAGCAAGCGATTTAAAAGATGAAGTTACCCTCTAATTTTAATAATTTTGCGTTACCTTAACTTATGTCATCACAATGTCTAAATGCCGAGGAAGAGAAGAGGCCCTTTGACATGGATAGCTATTAGAAACAAGTTTACAGAGTGGCATTATTGGCAACAAATTAACATTCCTAGCTTGGAAATGATCCTGGTGATTCAGTTGAGTAACTTGCCAACCAACAGTACCACTTAGCTAAATTTGATAAAGTCAGAGGAAATCCTGGGGCATTAGGACAGGAAGTGGAACAATCCAGGAAAGGGAAGTAAGTGTAACAATCAACACAATCTTGCTTAAGTACTGGTCAGATTCCAGGATTTAAAAAACAAAACAAAACCCAAACTCTATGAAGTTCTCATTGTATAAGTAGTAGTGATAAAAGAGGTGGCCTGAAAGCTATTCTATGTATGTATTTGCTTTGCTTGAATTATATTTTAACCTCTTTCAGCTTTTATTGTATCACATACATAGTATATGTGTGTATATATATATAGATGAAAACTATGACTGGTTTGTTTCTATTTTCTTAAAATGATTTCTACTGGCATAATAACGTCTCAAGAGTGTCAGGTGTTAGAGGAGTTGATGCACTTGCAGAGAATACTACATGGTCATATAAAAACCAATTGCTGCTGCTTGTGGTAGGATCTGTAAAAATGTAGGATATGTGAAAAGACAGCAACATCAAAGATTTAAAATTAGGACACACAAATACAATTATTTTATTTCATGGCTTTCATTAGTGTTAACTCTTAGCAGTTCCCATTGACAGAGTCCATTGACTGAGATGTCAAAATGAGTGTGGCGTGGCGATGCCCGACGCTAAGGCAGAAGTACCCACCTCAGGTGAGATAGGTGGGCACCCCAACATGCCTGCGGAAAGTGGCATGTGCAGATGGGAGTTCACAGTGGCCAGCACGGTCCAGCCTTGGCCAAAAAAATGCTGGCTCTTCCTTGAGCCTTGCACCCTGCTGCTACCCAGGGCTTATGGGCCTCACCTACCAGACAAAGGTGCTACTTTCTATGGTATACTGATAGCCTTGGCACTCAGCTCTTTCCTGAGTGGGTAGATACCACTCCTTTCTAGCATAACCCAGATGGAAGAGGAGGAGGAGTCCCTTCTTTTTAGCCCTCATGGGTTAGAGTACTCAGGTAGGATTTGGAAGGTCTACTTTTAATTGTTTCCTTCTTAAGGAGGCCTAATCCCAAAATTCCCACCTCTTAGGAAGAGGCCTTAACTAGACACTATTTCCACCTTTAACAAGTTGACTATTTGACATATGTGAAGCAGGGGGTGTTATTTTCAGTTCTTTTAACATTCTTCCTCTTTTCATAAATATTTAAGCAGTCAGTGAATGAGTGAAAGGGAGAAAATAAGTCTTCAGATGAATGGTTACCACAGTTATCTAAGAGGAAAGAGATCTGTCCTAATTCATGTTTATATGTTTCATATTAAGCAGCCCTTATTTGAAACATTTTCTTTCACCATTTTATCCTACAAATGTTTAACATAAAATGAAATTCAGTCATTGGAACAGAAGCTGGAACTCCATGTCGCCTGTCTGAATTCTGCAGTATTTTACTATCCACTAAACCACTATGGAGTTCCTTGCTTTCCTGAGTTCTCTTTCTCCATGCCCTATAAGCCTATAACCTAATGGTCAGGACAAACTTTAGAAAAATTTTTGCACGTCTTAGAAGAAACATGCATTTGGGTGTTAACAGCTTAGAGATTCCTTCTGTCATTACCATGTGCAGGCTGTCTGCCTGTCTCTATTGGAACCTTCAACACCTGCAGCAGGGGCTCTTAGTGGCAAATGTAGGCTTTCTCTGCAGCTGCTGTTCAGAGCTAAACAAATCGTCAGGGGGTTGGGTTCAGGTTAAACTAATAGAGGAAGTCGATGAGGCCTTCTACAGACAGCTGGAAGTAGCCTCACAGTCACAGGCCCTGGTTCTCATGGGGGATTTCAACCACCCTGATATCTGCTGGAAAGACAACACAGCTCAGCACAAACAGTCTAAGAGGTTCCTGCAGAGCACTGATGATAACTTATTGACACAGGTGGTGGAGATGCCAGCAAGGAGAGGTGTGCTGCTAGACCTTGTACTAACAAACAAACAAGGTCTAGTTGGAGAGGTGAAGGTTGGGGGCAGCCTTGGCTGCAGTGACCATGAGATAGTGGAGTTGAGGATCCTACGAGGAAGGAGCAGGGCAATAAGTAGGATCACAACCCTGGACTTCAGGAGAGCTAACTTTGGCTTCTTCAGGGACCTACTTGGAGGAATCTCATGGGGTAGGGTCCTAGAAGGAAGGGGCGTCCAGGAGAGCTGGTTAATATTCAAGCATCACTTCCTGCAGGCTCAAGACAGGTGCATCCCTAAGAGTAAGAAGTCCAGCAAAGTGTGCAGGAGACCTGCATGGATGAGCAAGGAACTCCTGGCAAAATTCCAGCAGAAGAAGGAAGTCTACAGAATGTGGAAAAGGGGACAGGCCACTTGGGAAGAATACAGGGACGTTGTCAGAGTGTGCAGGGATGCGACAAGGAAGGCTAAGGCCCATTTGGAATTAAATCTGGCAAGAGATGTCAAGGACAACAAGAAGGGGTTCTTCAAATACATCAATAGCAAAAGGAAGACTAGGGAAAACGTGGGCTCGCTGCTGGATGGGGCGGGTGCCCTGGTAACAAAGGATATAGAGAAGGCAGAGTTATTGAATGCTGCCTTTGCTTCAGTCTTCACTGCTAAGGCCAGTCCTCAGGAATTCCAGACCTTGGAGACAAGAGAGGAAGGCTGGAGAAAGGAAGACTCTCCCTTGGTGGAGGAGGATCAGGTTAGAGATCTTTTGTCCAAACTTGACATCCGTAAATCCATGGGCCCCGATGGGATGCACCCACGAGTGCTGAGGGAG